GCGCCAGAAGGTTTTTCTCGTCTGAGTCCATCCTTCAAATCTACAAATCTAACATTCGTCCTTGCATTGAATACTGTTACCATATATGGTCTGGTGACCCCGCTGTTCATCTTGAGGTTCAAAACGGATATGCAACGTGATTGGTCCTGACTTGAGCTCTAGACTCCAGTCATATTCTCACAGACGTAATGTGGTGTTGTGGCCTTGTTAGGGCCAGAAGTAAAGACACAAGAGAGGAAGTGAGTTAAACAAATATATTAACAGAAACAGAAATACAAACATATACAAACGAAAGTGTTACAGCAAGAATGTTCAGTCCGACTGTTGGAAACTTCCCTCTCCAAAAGGCAGTACCTGCTCCTATTTATAAATGGGAGCGTTCATGCGTGCGTGGATAAATAACATGTCGCTTCCCTATGATTTTTCTACAAATATTTTCATGGCAATTGATCTGACGAGCCACTTTCACTGGTACCCCGACTACATGAATTTAAGCGTGATACTAGGTTGGCATCTCGGTCCCACACTTTTATTGTCGAAAGAGTTAAGTATAAACGCCTCTTCTACTCCAACAGCTTCTCCTCTCGCACTTCCCGACAGTGTAACGCTCTTCCTCTTACTTGCTTCCTTGATAACTATAATCTTCAAAAATTTAAAAGTAATACTGTTATGGTGGAACACACCTGTTCTATAGTTAATAGACTCTCCCACCTATAATAAGTAGGAGTAGTAAAAGTAACGAGTCAGTCGGTCAGTGAGTCGACTGGCTGATCGGTTGAACTCTTTGCCTTCGGGCGGGGAGGAACCCGAAGGTGGCTACGCCGAAGGGCGGATTCTCTTTCGGGGAGGTAAACTGACCCTGAACCCGTTTATACGGGTTCAATGGGCATATTTTTGGCCGAGCCCACGGGCTCGGAGATCCCACGTTAAAAAGGCCTTGTGTCACATGATGCCCTCGTGGGGGAAGGTGACTGAATATCGTCGGTCAGTGAGTCGATGTCGGACGAGTTAGTCGAATACTAAAGTATCAGCGACCACAACTAGATTACTCCTAACGTTTTGTACGTCGAACCTATTTTAGGACCGACTTAGTACAAATACAAGCCTCCACTGTGAAATCACTCCACAACAAATATCAATCTGCATCTTCTAATGCCTTGATCCCCATTCTTTTTTTATACTTCGTTCTTTTTCTTATCCTTTCCTCATCCATTATACCCAGTCTTTTCTCTTACTTTCACTCTCTGTAGCCCTTTGCGTATTAGTGGCACTCCCGCCTTTCTTGGGGTGAAATGATTATAAAAGAAATCTTCAAACGAGTCAAAATATTATTAAAATTACGAAGCTAAATGTAACATTCTGTAAACAAACCGTTTTTATTTCTGCCTGAATTTCTAGGATGAGCAGTTATCATTATTTACACTATTTACATTCGGACTATTGTTCTCATCTTTCTCGTTGTTATCACAACGTTTCGACCCTTCTGTCCTCCGGCCTTCCTCAGGTATATATCGAGCTGGTTAACCTCCAGGGAAGAGGAGTTATCATTATTTACACTATTTACATTAGGATTATTGTTCTCATATTTCTTGTTGCTATCACAACGTTTCTACCCTTCTGTTCTCCGGCCTTCCTCAGGTGTATATCGAGCTGGTTAACCTCCATTATTTACACTATTTACATTAGGATTATTGTTCTCATCTTTCTCGTTGTTATCACAACGTTTCGACCCTTCAGCCCTCCGACCTTCTTCAGGTGTATATCGATCTGGGTAACCTCCAGAGAAGAGGAATTATTTAAACTGTTTACATTCGTACTATTGTCCTCATCTTTGTTGTTGTTATCACAATCTTTTATCCGTTATGTTTTCCGGTCTTCTTCGGGTGTATATCGTGATAACCACAGCAAAGATGAGAACAATATTCCGAATGTAAATGGTGTAAATAATGATAACCTCTTTTCCCTGAATGTTACCCAGATCGATATACATCTGATGAAGGCCGAAGGGCACAAAGGCTGAAACGTTCTGATAACAACAAAGATGAGGACAATAGTCCGAATGTAAATGGTGTAAACCTTTTTTTTTACCCATTAAAAACCAGGATATCAAATCACGGAAATATTTCGTCAGCTGCTCGAAGACAATTGTTACTTTCATTGCCTTAATCGCCATCCACATATTGTTACGGATTCCTGACCGATTCAATATTAGAAAACAAACACACAGGGCAAAGAGTTCTCTTGCGACATATCTCGTTAGCCGCTACGAGACAAGCGCAACTGTCACTATCTTAATTACTATCTCTGGATTGACTTGAATAATAGTCCGAGTTACTGCCAGAGCAAGAAGACCCCAGATAAAGTTTTTCGCAGTTCGGTTCTTATTTCGTAAGCCATTCTTCTTCTTTATGTGCCGTATTCCCTGAGAACGTAGGTGATCATGACTCTCCACAACTTCCTGTCCCTTATAGTTCTTAAGAATTTTTGTCTTTCTGTTATTTCTCCTAAAGCCCGTTCCGCCATCGACTGACTCGAGCTCACTAAGTATATTATGGTGGTTTTCTAAGCGTAGGTTAGATGTGGCACAAGGCCGATAGTATGGTGCACCCAATGAGGATCGAACTCACTACTCAGTCGTAATTTTTCTAGCGAGACAAGCTTGCTAACCATTGCACCACGCTGAAGTGCCCCACTAAGTATGTATCTTTTTCTCTCTCTTGCTTTCAATCTGTCATGTGTGTATTATATTTTCCTAGCCTTCTTTTCTCATTATGTACTCATCAACTGTCTCTTCATAATGTTAAGTATACGTTTCCTTTTTGTTTCCATTTTCTCTATAATCTTGTTGCTCACATGTTCAGTCCATGGTAATCTCTGCAGAACCACATTTATGTTGCTTCAAGTCTTTTCTTCTTCTTTGAGGAGATTGTCTAGCATTCACTGCCATATAAGTCGACAGATATCACGTAACAGTTTAGTACTCTTTTCCTTGTTTCTAGCGAAGTCCAATTAATATTTCAAAAGTCCTGCTACTTCTTAATACTCTGCTTAGCTTTTGGAAGGCATCTTTGGCTATCCCAATACACCACTCAGCCAGTCACTAGTGGTTAATATTGGTATTTGTTCAGCTTCATTTATCCGCCTGGCGTTAATTATTGTGTTGGCAAGATGGGAGATATACGAGTTAGGAAAATGTTTAATCCCAGACATCTAAACGGAGATGTTTGAGTCAACTTGAAGACCAGCGTAAAAAGTACTGACATTTATTCCGGATCAAACACTGACCAATGGCGCTGATGTGAATTTTGCAAAACGGCAATAACGGAGCACTTACGACAATGGGGAAATCGTTTGCGAAGCGAACATGTTGACCATCGATCGATGAGAGGCTTGGTTGATTTGACACTGTAAAATCATCAACGAGAGTGAGTTTGCGTGCATGTGTGTGTGTGTGTGTGAGAGAGAGAGAGAGAGAGAAGGAGGGAGAAAGAGAGGAGGAGAAGGAGGAAGAGAGAGAGAGAGAGAGAGAGAGAGAGAGAGAGAGAACCTGAACATCAAGTACTTAGGAAAAAAGCACCAAAGCTGAAAAAGGTGACAGTAAATTGGACGACAAAGTTAATAACACTATTTCTCCATAAAACCGCCGATACAACTGTTACCAAAGTTAGACAAGGTTCATTGATTTGTTTTTTTTTACGGTTTATCAACCTTTTGCGAGTTACTTGAGCTATTAAGAATTTTATAGCGATAATAATGATTTACTGATACAAATTCTACTAATTAACCCATAGCTGGAGGGAGAAGAGTGTATTTGTACGTAAGTGAATATGACGAACCCAACTGGAATGGAAACTCGGCTCACCGATTTCTAATTGCTAGCCGTTATCCATTGCCCTACGCACATATCCAAACTTACTGCCACCGATATTCCCAAGTGGTTACTCATCTAGGTACTGACGAGGCTCGACGTTGCTTAACTTCGAGGTAGACAAGAAAGTATTGTAGCACAAAAAGATGAGAAACCATTAGGGTATCAGAAAAATAGGACCGGGGGTATCATAATGGTAATAGTGATATTAGCCGTTTCCCTATAAGGAAACATTTGACATTCATTGGTCGAGAAGCCAGTTCTACTTTCGGTTGAAATTTATAAAATGTTTCTATTAATACAATTTTACAAGAACATAAATTTCTCAAAATCTACTGGCTGCTATCGCTCTTTCCAGTATTGACGGGGGTTTCCTTCCTAATCTTTTGTTTGAAATAATGTGGAACGCCGACATCTTAATGATGTCATCATTTTCTCTTCGAGTTAAATTTCCTGTTCATTTTCCGTGTTGCTTTGCGTTTGAAAGTCCTCAAGTGATGTGGTTATATGTTATCTAGTAGAGTTCTTTATTTGTGATTCTGTAGCGCCAGTCCACGAGGTTTGAAGAAGGATGGTCCTCGTGAAAACCTACAGGCTTCACTCGCTCGAACATATTTTTAACTATTGACCTTAGAAAGCTGTGCATGCAACTGACAGTTTAGATATTTCTGAACGCGTTTGGTGCTACGCATGGTATCCATATCAAAGTTTCAATCTGACGAGGCTATTTAAGAACATGACTCAGGTTTTTAGGTCAATGTTTTGGTTCTGTAGCAACTTGCGGTGTTGCGCGAAACTGCCTCTAGCGTAGCCTATTCTATATTCAATTACTTTTTCTCCTATACAGAATTAGTTAAAAAAAATCCAGACACAGAAGTGATTAGTATTTACTAATTCCACGCCTGGGACATTTATGATGGATTAAGTACCGGTGCTTTCGTTCCAATTCCAGATCAGAGTTTCTGTTTTGAGTAAATGAGAAAGCGTTATCGAAATAAATACAAAACAAGAAGCATTATCGGGTGAAAAATAAGACGATAATTGTTAAAGAAAACATGTAAGCTAAGAAATCATTATAAGGTGAAAAGTAACAAGAGGATGAATTACACAAGAAAAATGGATGAAAAAGCATTGTGAGGAAAAAGTTAATGAGAAAGACAAAATTGAGACGAGGAAGCCTTATAAGGAAAAAGTGGTATTAGGAAACATTATAAAAGAAAATATTTAATGAGAAAGCATTATAACGGCAAGAAGCAAGACTATGAAACATTAAAGGGTGGGAGGTAAATTTAATGAGAAAGCATTATAAGATAAAATAGACGTGGAAAAATTATGAGAAGGTATAATAAGGGAAAAAATAAGACGGGGAAACATTATAGGGAAATTGCTTAGTATGAAAGCATTATAAGGGGGAAAAGTAATGACGAGAAAAATTTATAGGAAAAGTGTTAATTAGAAAACATTATAAGGGACAAAGTATGACGTGGATGCATTATATTGGAAAAATTGAATGAGAAAATAATATAAGAGGAAAAAGTAAAACATGGCGGAATTATAAAGAAAAGTTAATGAGAAAGCATTATAAGGACAAAGTTGGAGGAGTATTATAGGGGAAATATTAATGAGAATTCATTATAAGGGAAAAACTAAAAGAAGGAAGCATTATAGAGGAAAAGTTAATAAGGAATTTTAATAAGGAAAAAGTTGGGTAAGCATTATAGGAGACAATATTAACGAAAAAGCTTTATAAGGGAAAATTAAATTATAGAAACAATATAGATGTTTGGTTTGCTTTGTTTTACGGCATTTGGGTTGTTTAATGTCGACACGAGGGGAAGTGGAAAAATCAGGCGTGGCTGACCATATATGGAGAGAAAAGGGAAATCACTGCCCTCTGTGGGATCAGGTTGAGATCATAAACAAAGAACACCATTGGAAAATTCGTAAACTTAAAGAATCAGCACATATGCTAGGCCACAAAAATCACCTGAACCGACTAAGCATAGAAATGAATACAATATGGGAACCAGTAATAAGGAGTGCCAGAGAAAATTACAATATGATCTTTGGTAAAACATGACAGATAACACCAAAAATTGCAATATGAGCACTGGTAAAAAAAATGAATGCTGAAGACATTAGGTTTATAATACCCAGAAATTCATACACAGATGTCCTCAAGGACATGGTGTTGGTTAGATCCAGTGACAGGACCCAAAAGAGTGTGAGTTCAATACGCGGTTAAGGCAGTGGAGAACTTGCAGAGGAGGAATTAACAGGAGATAACTGATAACTGATATCCATTAAACATGGCACGTGGAACTAGAACAGTCTACCCAAATTCGACATTCCAACCCCCTGAAGAAGTTCGGAGTGTACAACGGCTGAAACGTTGCAATAAATATGGCGACAAAGATGAGGACAATAGTCCGAATAATGTAAATAGCGGACAAGATTTTTATTGTTGGTAATATTTATTTTTTCTTCAAAAAATGTAGTTATTATAATGCATTTCTGGTAATAAATTTTTCCAAAAAGTTATTGCTGGTATTAAAACCTATTTTTACACTTTCATAGTGTTTTGACCACAGTTTGGGATTAACTCTTTACCCATAGCTGGGACCCAAACAGGTGCTACCATTCCGGGTCGGGGTGGACCTGGGAACATCAGCAATTAACCGTCTTGGGCATGACGATAAACTACATCTGCGTCCCGGGTAAGACGATAAACTACATCCGACAGCAAGGCCTCTGAGCAGGAGGTTTTGAGGAGTGTGGAACCACCTCTTAATTGCTGGTGTTCCCAGGTCCACCCTGACCCGGTGTGGTAGCACCTGTTAGGGTCCCAGCTATGGGCAAATAGTTAACTCGGAAACTCGGGTCAAAACACCGTGTAAAAAAAGTTTTAGTACCAGTAATACATTTTTGTAAAAATATTACCGGCAAAGAATTTTTGAAGAAAAATATATTAGCAGCAATACATTTTTGAAAAAAATATTACCAGCAATAAAAATCTTGTCGGCATTAAATAACCCATTGAGGTGTTGATATGCCGTAAAAAAAAAAAAAAACAAACCAAAACCTGAAATTAAGAGGTGTTTCTACGCTCCTTAAAACCTTCTGATCAGAGGCCTTGCTGCCGGATGTAGTTTATCGTCATGTCCAGTACACAATATAGAGGAAAATGGTGAGGAGAATGCATTACAAGTGAAAAAAGTGGAAATATAGAAGCATTATAGGTCACAAATGTAATAAGTTAGCACCATAAAGGAAAGAACGGAATCTTTAAGAAAAAAAAAAAATTATGAAAACAGAAAAAATTATAAAAACGTGATAAAATCATAAAAATTTTATGTGAAAGTCAATGGAGAAAATAAGATGAAAAATGTCATAAAAGCAACGAATATAAATATTAAAAATGTTTCCAGTAGGTGAAAAAAAAAAAAGAAAAGAAAGGATTTTGCAAGCACCTAAATTTTTGCTGCTTACAACCTCTGCGTTTGCTTCATTCCAGAACCCGGATGACGTGGGTAATGAAGGCTTATAGTTAGCTATTATGCTCGGAGCATAATGTAGTTCACAACAGGCCGAGTTGGCGGCTTTTAAATAAATATATGGAAAAAAAAAAAAGAAAAACGCGTGACCAGTCTACTTTTTTTTCAAGATTAAAACAGCCAGAAGCGTGGGTGGTTGCAAACTATTCTCATGAAAGAGTAATCATTTGCAGCGTGTAGATTTTCTGCAGCAACCGAAACAGACATTGTAAAAACTAATCCAGAACAAAAGGTTCTAGAAAGTAAGAAGGAAGTGCAGAGTAACGTAAAGGAGAATGCAAACATCTTCTTGTGAAAACAGGTTTATATATATATATATATATATATATATATATATATAATTATTTAAAAAAAAAAAAAATTTATAACATAAATATATTATAAAATCACTACAAAAAATAGCCATTTTGTTTCAACACCCTCGGTGTCTTATCAAATGATGATGTTGAATGTAAAAAATAAATCCGTATACACCAATTATATACTTGTATATATATATATATATATATATATATATATATATATATATATATATATGGGTAAAAAATTTTGTTAGAAAGATTCTGTACAAAAACTTATTCTATAGGCTAAAATAAGAATTTTAATATAGTGATATTTATTTATAATCTATGAATTTTTACAGAGAAGAATTAAAACTTTGTTACTTATAATTGGATTTTCAGTGTTTTTGTCTTAGAAAAATAATTTGTTGTTTTCTTTTTTTTACTTTAATCGATTTCGCTTAGCTTTTTAAAAAGTTTTTAACTGTTTCTATCTCTACGTGTTGATGCTTATGATTTGAACAAATGAAAAAAAAAGAAAAGAAAATCAAGGGGCGTAACTGGCTTTATATGTCGTTTATGGTAAGGGCAATTAATATATAAGTTTCATTCAAAATGACTGACAACGTACTGCAGTTTCCTTGTAGCATGTCGGGTCATGTGATTTAGTAATTGAGTATTTGGGCAGCAACCCCCCCCCAATACACAATTATATATATATATATATATATATATATATAGAGAGAGAGAGAGAGAGAGAGAGAGAGTGACAGAGACACAGAAAGAGAGAGAGATAGTGAGAGAGATATTGTTAGATATAGTAGGCCGATGAAAGAAATTCGGGAGTTAAAAAACCCACTAATTAATTATTGATAATAAGACGAATAATATTTACTAGTTTGAACATGTGAAAATTTCACGGTTTTCCTCCTGTGAAATTCTGATGAACCTTAATTCTTAAGTTAATAATTGAATAAGCTCACAGCGAGTTGTACGGCAATAAAATACCCGTAAAATTTCGCCTATCACATCATTAAATATTTGAGCTTAACAACTTTAACAAAATATTGAAATAATGATACATATGAATGCTAGTGGTTATTTTAAGAAGTAATGGGGTACAAATGAAAAGATCGGTAATTTTTTTCCATTTCACATAAACAGCCGCTAAACACTTTTATCTTTCTTCTTTCTCACTGAAACCAAGTAGTGTCTTTTCCCCTCTTTCCACGCAATCAAAGCGGAATAGTCCATTATTCATGAGGTATTGGCAGGGCGTAGTGGTCGTGCGAACTAACAAAAGGAGGGACAAGTGAAATTATAATTATTATTCGGTTGAGTTAGCTCGAACATTCATGAGTCTATCACGGCAACCATCACAGTCTTGCATTCAAGTGGGAAGATCGTTAGGGTGGCATTCTGTGTCGACCAATCCGTTTTTTGTCATGACTAAATGTCCAGAGCAGAAGATGACTCGCAAGTCCTTGTTTTGCATTCTGTATTTGCGTAAGATTCTTAGAAATATCAGGATAGGTCCATAGAGCTGTGATTTAGTTGGATGTTGTCTCCAAAAGATGTTAAATATAGATCTCAGCATCCGAGTGTAGGTTACATCAAGTTTAGATTGGAGGGTTTTAGTTAATGTCCAATTATCATACATTTAAAACCGCCCCTACAGTAGCTCTAAAGACTCTCCGTTTGTGGTTGTCTGGTAGATCAGATTTCCAGATTACACCCATTTGATTCAAGGTGACCCAGGCTTTAACTATGCAAATTTTCACATCCTTTCCAATAGAATTTATTTCACTTTCTAGATATGTAAAAGATTCAACAGATTTTATTGATTCATATGAGACAGTTTATATTGAGCCTTGTTGGTTGAAGCTTATGAATTCAGTTTAAGAGCCATTGTCATAGAGTCCAACATCGTTGGCAGCATTTTCTAGATGATGTAGGAATTTTACTTGACAAACGTCCTCATCTAGGTTTTGCTTTATCACCAAGGCTCTCAGGTCGATATACTGCAAAAAATTTGACCGATATTGACTACGCAGATGACCTAGACATCACTGCAAACGCCATAAGAAATGCCATAGTCCCCCTACATTTATACTAGGATTGTACAGTAGTAGGACTTTTGACCAAATAGAAGCATGACAAGAAAACATGTTAGTAATCGGAATTTTAGGACACGACTGTGCACTTTCTCAACGAGCAATAAAAAAAAAAAAATGAAGTGGAACTTTTTGGTGGTGGGGTCGTGTCCCCAAATTTCGATTTTTAACCTCTTTCTTCAT